CTGTCAGGAATGGACCAAGTCGTAAGGGCGGGCTGGCTGGTTGTATATATAATTTTCTCCGTTGCCTTTTCCCGGGATTTGGAGAACGTGGGTCAAAAAGGGAGGCGAAGAATCTTGTTTGCAGCGAGCAAGCAAAGCCAAAGAGCCTCCTGCCAGCCAAAACTGGAGTGTCTAGTAGACGGTAGATGGAGACAGGACACGTAGGAAAAGAGATGGCTTGGGGAGGGGGGGGATATCAGGAAGGGCGAAAGGGCGTCCGTCCTCTTTCAACGGCGTGTAAGCAGCTGGAGACTCGAGGCGAGAGAGCCAACCCAATCGGCAACACGAGAGCAGCAGGCGAAGCACCACTGGTAGAGGAGGATTCTCAGCAGCCCAGGAGCAAGCGTAGAGAGAGAGAGAGAGAGGCGGTCGTAGAAGGATGCAGGTAGACGCAACGCAGTGAGCAGCAGAGAAGAGACCGGCGGCCAATGCCAAAACACCTAGACTTGCAGTCAATCGAGCCCCGGGAGGCAGGACAGCGAGGAGCAGCCGCGAGCGAGACGACGGCGGTCTTTGTGCTGGCAGGGAGACGGCGTCGAGGACGGGGCGTGAAGAGGATGCAGCAGCTGGGCTGGTCGTGGAGCGCTGGGTGGAAGTTGAAGAAAGGTTGAAGTTGCGGAATGAAAGTCGACGGAGTGAAAGTTCCAGGAAGGTCGAGCGAGTTTGGGAGGGGGCTTCGGGGCTGGTCGCAGTGGGCGGCCGTAGAAGGTCAACCTCAGGCCCACGCACGACACAGAAAGACAGCGACGACGACGACGACGACGACGACACGACAGCAACGGTGATGATGATGGTGATGGAGATGGAGATGGAGATGGAGATGAGACGGACAGATGCGGTTTGAGAGAAGACGGAAGAGAGGCAGAGAGGGAGAGCGGAAGGGGAGGAACGGGTTAATGTGGAGGTGCAGTGGCTGCAAACGTCAAACTACGATGGACCCTTTGACGGGCAGAGAGTTAGCTACCAGAGACCGTCGACGGAGCAGAGAAAAAGACTACAGGAGAACTACGATAAGACGGAGCGGAGGGTCGATAAGACGAGCAGCAGCAGCAGCAGCAGTGACGGCGAGAGACGCATGAGGCCTGCTCGATCGTGTGATGGCCTTGGTCGAGAGTCATGCCTGGAGCCCGCCATGCTACGTTCGCACATCCCTATTGCCGAGACGAGACGACAGCCAGAGACAGGACAGGACAGGCGCCTACAGGAAGAGACAGACAGGAGGATGGACAGCCAGACAGACGTAGGGCAGAGGACGAGGCCCAGGGATGTACCAGGGAGACTAAACTGCTTTTACAGCAGAAAAAGAAACGAGACGAAGTTTGCTTCCCTGTACTATGTGCGCCTCCTGCTCGATGGTAGCCCTCGGAGGCTTCGCCCGGCCCTCTCTGCCTATGTGTGCTGCTGCTCAGCGTCGGACAGATGCTGGATCGGCTCTATAACTATCTACTTAAGCTGGCCTGGGCCCCCTTTTTTCGTGCTGGACAAGAGATATGCAAGAGACAAGTTCCACCGGCGTTGTTGATTAAGACATGGGAGATTACGGAGCACCGGTCTCAATCCTGGCTCGATGGCTCGACGGTTGGCTGGCTGGCTGGGTTGGCTCGTCTTGCATCAGCCTCAGACTCCCTCTCCTCTCCCTTTTTTTAGTTACCCCGGACTTTTTCTCCTCTTTCTTCGAGAACTTGCTCCCTTTCTTCCGGTCGTCTTGTCGGGCTTTCTCAAGACTGCCTGCTTGCCCTCTGCGGTTGATCACCATGGTAAAACGCCGGGCCAGAATTTGACTATACAACTCTACTATATGGAGTCCCCCCTCCCTCCCCTATTATTATTATTATATGGACAATGCATCTAGCCGGGCCAGTTATAACGCAGATAGTAAGAAGGAAAAGGAGGATAACCTTATTTTCCGGCCGGTCCAAGCATTCCAAAATTACCCGGTTGACCATACACAGGACAAAGAATCATGGCTTTGGGCCCGGGGTAGGCGGGAGGGATGTCCTGTACAGTAGTATACTTAGGTACTTCTGTGAGAGGACAGCCCACCGGGGCCATTATTTAAATTTATGTCGAAGGAGGTATCCCTGTACACTCCGTCCACGCGGTATCGATACACACTAACTAACTGGCCAAACAAGACAAATCAACTTAAACTAACCTTCATTCAAGGAATCGAGACAATATAAACTATCTTCACCCCGCGCCACGAGGCAATATAATGCGAAAGAAAGTCATGCCGTGACCATGGCAGTGGCCCAAAATAGCACCAGGACTACTCGGTCAGCCCCATATAAGTAAGCACTTACATATATTTTTGTCTTTAGACCTCATACATGTTCCTATCGGGAGGAGCAGAAGGAGGTAAAACTAGCCGATCAGACAAAGAGCGGATGGCCAGCCGGTTCCCTTAGCCTGGCCGGAAACGATATACTGACTTGCATTCATACATACTGCGGACCCAACTGAGGAACCAACTGGAGTAGAGAGCGACAGAGTACCCTCTGGCTTGCTCTCCATGATATTCATGATCAGGACGGCGGATGTCTCTCCCGACCTCCTCCAGTGGAGTAGCTACCAGGGTACACTCCCGAGCAGGACGAACCATTGCAAGGAAGATAAGAGAGTGAAGACTGAAGATAGGGAAATGGGCAAGGAAGATGGGGAAAGGGTGACAGTAAAAAGGGGGGAAAGAGAGCATGGATGGTCTTCCCAACCGCTGCATCCCGAGTGATATCTACCTGCTCCGTGGTTATATCAAATGCAAACAGAAGCTTCTCTCACATGGCAGCCCATGGTATACAGGCACGCACACGCACACCCTCTGGCAGAGAAAAGTATGCACATCGTGATGGCTAGCGAGCCCATCCATGGCCTATATCTGGGATTCGTTAACTCAGTCAACACTAACAAGAGAGGGTTGCATTTATGACTGATGTCTTTTTTTTTTTTCCCCTCTGGCTACCACGGCTATCTCGTCTCGTATTCATCTGCTTGACTCCCAAGTTAGAAGGTTACTGCTGAGCCGGTTCGGCTGGCGTGATGCACATCATCTTCATGGTCGATCAGCCGCTACTAACTGGTGACCCGAAGGACTATCCTCAGGCTTGTCTGTCTCTGTCTGTCTGTCTATATGTATGAATATATGGACTTGCCCTTTTTATATACCAAAGCTGACCTTAAGATAGTGATAAACGGCGAACTTAAAGGGCCGTTGACTAGCTAGTTACTATTTAACTATACGGGTGTTCTCCGCATCGTCGACTTTTATGCTCTCTAACCTTCAGCCCTTACTTAGTTACTTACACCACCGTGGGAGGAAATTTGATATCTCCATCCCTGCCACGCTCCGTCCGGCCTCCAAGGTCGAGGCTATCTCCGGCCATGCTCGCAGTCCGTCTACCTCATCCAGTGGACCTCCCAAGACGCCATTCGATCATGTCACAGTCCGAGCAGCTAGCTGCTGTGCGGCCACTGACATATGTGTGATGCGAGCTGGCTTCTGGAAAGGCGCTGGAATGACGGCCTGCAACAACAGCCAGGCCACGGCGAGCCAGGCCCCTCCTTGCAGCCGGCTAGAGCAGGTCACTTTTTTCTTTACGGTGTTCCTAACCTGCATGTCAAGCATCTTCTCGGCGTCTTCTGCTTCATGGCCCTCTGACAGGCAAGATGTAACCAGCAACGCTCTAACCCCCCTCCGGATCTCTGATATCTGATCGACCTGGCTGAGGTAGGGCTGGAGATCATCTGCGCGGACTTGTCGACCTTTTTCTCCTGTCATCGTCCTCGCCGTCTTCGCCGTCCCATGGTTCGGCTGTCTTGTCCTGCGATGCTGTACTCCGTCCTCGTACTCTGCCGTAGCTGTGTCTGTGCAACTCTTCCCCTGTCTCTGGCTCTGCCTTTTTCCACACTGCCCAGTACTTAACTCGTCCTGCCGTCTTCTCCTCTCCTCGGCTTAATTACTGTGCTGTCTCCTGTCCGTCTATCAAGTTATCTACAACTCCATCCAATGTCGCGGCCTTTCCCCCTAGGTCGTTTCAGTAGTCGTATCGTATGGTAACCGCACCTCCCTCCGCGCGGGGCCCAGCTGTCACTTCTGCGGCGTAACTCTCGTAATTACAATACACCACCCTCTGTCCGACCGTTTGCCGCATTTTCTAGTCGTTTTTTTTTCCTCCTCACGAATTTTTTTTCTCTTTCTCTCTCCCTTTTCTCTCTCTTCCTGCTTCATCCTCGACCTTCTCTTGCCTCAGCGTCTCTTCAGCGTCGTCTTCGTCTCTGCCGTCTCTGCGCCCCCCCAGAAAGCCCCTCCTCGCTGCGTCTCGCTCGTCCGTCTCCGTCCTCGTCTGCCTCCTTGCGTCCCCCTCGCTTCCCGTTCGCTCCGTCGAAGAGCAGACCAAAAAAAAAAAAGGGACTCCTTCGCCGCAGTTCTCCCAGCCGGATCCCCCATGGGCTTGCGAGGCCCCAGGTAGCCCAGGTACCCTTTCTTTCCTTTTTGTTTGTAAGACGGGGTCGTCGTCGTCGGGTGAGTGACTTGCTGGCCGTCTTCTTCTACAATTGATTCTCCTGCTTCAACTCTTCTTCGTCTTCACTGGACGTCGCCCTCAGCTGCGGCAGTGGAAGCTTAAAGCTGCGCTGGAACCTTGGTTACAGAACCGCTGTCCCTGGTCGAGAGAGCAAACGTCCCCTGAATCCCGAGTGCTCCCCTTCTAACTAACGGCGTCTCTTGCTGCAGTTTTCTTCTTTTTTTTTATTATTATTATTTCTTCCCTCCTGCGTCGTTTCGTCGGTCGTCCTTTTTTTCTTTTCTCCCTGCGGATTCCGGAAATTTATAAGCAAGAAAAAAAGTTGCGCTGGAACAAACTCGATTTTCTCCCCTCGCGGCACCACCAAGTCAAGAAGACACTCGCATAAAGACCACAACCACCTACGTTGACGCTGATCATGGCATACTACGAACCCCAGGGATGGCAGGCTCCCATGCGCCAGGCCTCGTGGGAAGCGTCGGCGCCCCCTTCACGCTCAGGTATAGACAGCCACCTCTTTCTACCACAACAGCAACTCTGAAGACAACTTGCAACGGGCTGAGGCTGATTCAATTGGTGGTGGGGGAAATACAGGCACTAGCTCGACCGTCCAGAGAGAACCCGAGTCCAACGCCTTTGCCTCTCAATTCGATGGTATGGATAGATAATATATATATATATGTTGATCTCGGCCAAAAAAGGGCTGATGATAGAACGACGATGCTAACTGTGACGGGTTGAACCATGAAGAGGTGGAGCGAGCCATCGATAACCTGTCCAAAAGCGGGAAGACCTTTGGAGGTCTGCCTCGTCGGGACTCGATGCCGATGATGATGGGTCGACCTTATGATTTCACCGGTATGTCTGTGCCTGAGGTCGGATCGAGGATGGCTGGCAGTTGGTTGTGTTGGTTGCTAATGATGAATCTGCGTTGGCTGTCTAGATCCCCGTGCTATGGGCCCAATGGCAGCGTCCCGTCACCATTCAATTGGCGACTACGATGCCATGCGTCCGCACTCGGCCTCGAACCTGCAGGGCTTCTACGCCGCTCAACGCTTCCAGGGCCGTCCGAACGAGACCGAACAGATGATCCAGGCAAAGCGTCGACTGGCTGCCCAGCGCGAGAGAGAGCTACGCAACTACCACCAAGAACAGCAATACAATCGAAGTACGTGATACTGTTATCATACCTTCATTCCCACACGGCTGCGAAGCTATCCAACCAACCCTTACATCTCGGACCTACTTCTTCTTCTTCTTCTTCTTCACTTTATTTTATTCCCTTTTTTTTGTATATTGCTTTTATATGGATTTGTACTTATCTTTGTTTTCCTTGGCTTTGTTTTCGACGGGAAAAAAGGCCTTCTCGCCGACATCTCAGGGGACAAATCCGACCGATCCATGAGCCCAGCGGCCATGACCGAAGAGAGCCGCCGTGACTTGATTGCCCGCCAGCACCGTGCTCTGTACGGCAACGACTCCGCCCTCCAGACCCCCAGTGCCGGTCCGGGCGACGACTCCCACTCGCAGGCCGCCGGCACCCCGACGACAGGCCTCCCCAGCGGCGGCCGCGGAGCCTCACCCCGAGGCGTCGACCCCTTTCTCGGCGGCCAGCCCCATGCCGACAGCCAGACCCAGCAAGCCACATCGGGAGCCAACGTGCCGTGCTCGGTAGCTCCTCGCACGCGCTCGCCTCCCTCAACGGCCTCTCCGCCCTCCAACACCAACCCGGGCTCGGCGGCGACGACGACGACGTACGGTGGTGTCTTTGAACCTAGCCAGCCACCCACCTCTTCCCCCACTGGCAAGGGAACGACTGACTCCTCCCCATCCCGCGTAGGTCCCATTGGCTCTCGTCCTGCCCAACCGCAGCAGCAGCAGCAGCAGCAGCAGCAGTCTCAGCAGCAGCATCAACCTCAGCAGCAACAACAACAGCAGCAACCACCAACTAACCAGAGCCCCAACCCATCTCTCAGCTTGCGTTCCACCACTCCTCTCCCTTCGCCGCTTAGCTACGGCTTCTCGCCCAACGAAGACGGCGGAATCGGCAGTAGCACCACTGCCGCCGCCGCCACCAGTGCTACCGGCGGCGCCAACAACGGCAGCAACGGCAACAACGGCAGCGGGAACGGCACCGGCACGGACGCGGGAGCCGGCAGTGCAACCCAATCGAGCTCCGCGGCAGCAACCAGCAGATCTGCATCGGGGAACAACAGCACCAGCCAGTCGATGAAGGAGTCCTCCCCCACCGTCGGACTGGGCTGGGGATGGCGAGGCAAGAACCAGCTCGGCGTCCAGGCTTCTGTCTGGGGATGATCTACTGCACACACCATTTTTACGTCCTGTCGTCATTCATTCATTTTTCCTCTACTGCTTATACTGCCTGATTCCCAAGGCAGCGGTTTGGTTGTTGGTTGTTGGTCGGTAGTTGGTCGTCGGTTGCTTGTTACTCGCTGGTTTTCAACTAATAGGTTGCTTTTTTTTTGCTGTCGCTTCTTTCGGTTCATTTCTGGTCCGTCTATCTATCCCCCCATTCGCCCATTCCCCCATTCCCCTTCTTCTTGGTTACTATCTCGTCTCGTTCAACTTCAAGGGGATGCAAAGGAGTCCACTCAACGCTTTAATCCGCCATTTACCGTTCTTGGTTGCTTCATCTGTCTGTCTGTCTGTCTGTCTGTCTGTTGGGGTTTATATACTGTCATCGGAAAGGAGGGTTGAAGGGATCGGCCTGGAATGTTTCTCTTGTTTCTCTCTTGCTGCTTGTCTGTCTTTTTGATTTTTTGTCTATCTTTCTGGTGTTGATTGTGTGTGTTCTTGCCTGGGTGCGGTTGAGGATGCGGATGCTGGTGGTGAGGGCCATAGATAAAAGACAGGCGCAACTTCGACTTGTCTACGCTGGCTGGCTGGAAAGCCTGGGAATTGGACTGCTTTTTCTTCTTTCTCGTTCTTCTCTTCTTATCATTCCGGAGTTTTTTTCCTTTTCGTTCTTCTGTTTACTCTTTAATGCATTTCACTTCATCTGACTCGTGTGCAGTGTGCTAAGTTGTAATAAATACCCGATGGCTTCTCCTTTCTTTTTATTCTTTTGGCTAGCTAACGGACGGGACGGGACGGGAGGTTCAATTTGTTACTTGCAAGCGAGTCTGCTGTCTTGCTTCTTCTCGGTTACAGGTCTGCCCTGTCAGCCTTGCGGTTGGAGGGAAATGACTGAACGAATGAACGAAATGACTTTTTTTGTATTAGCTATGTAGTAAGTATCCAAACTCATGACAGTCATGATATATATGATGGTGAAGATGGTGAAGATATACTCCGTATACTCCGTATATGTACCGAGATGTATGTATGTATGGATCATTAGACATTAGAGTCAGCGCTGGCAGCAGTAGCATCATTGGTGCCATGATCTCTCCTCCTCCTCCTGGCAGTGCCTATGCCGATGACACCTTGCTCCTGGTTCTCGCCCAGCCAGGGCTTCATGGCCTCGCCGAGCACCTGTCTGCCGAGATAGTAGACAAACTGGCCGATGATGATGAGCACAAAGGCGATGGGGTAGAGGAAGTGGATGCGCAGGCCAAAGACCTTGACCCCGATCACGACGCCCCAGAAGTTGCTGGTGAGCAGGGAGATGTTGAAAAACGCCGCGCTGGCCAGGCGGAAGAGCAACGGCGCCAGGCTGTAGAACAGGAAGAGACACAGCGTATACCCGACCAGGTATCCCGCCACCGCGCCGTTCCAGACCGCCTGCTGGAACGAGGCCCGGTCGAAGATGGCCGCCTGCACGCCCATGATGACGGTGGCGTACATGCCCAGCTGGCCGAGCACCTCGTACATCGGCCGCTTGCTAACCAGGTACTCCTCTGCGACATTTGTGAGGCCGTAAAAGGTAGCTCCAAGCAGGGCAAACAGGTCTCCCTTGATCAGGTCGCCGCGAGACTTGTCTGGCCCGCCGCTGTTGGCGCCCGTGATATGGTCTGAGCCGAAGAGCACGCCCATGCCGCCGATGCAGACGAGGATGCCCGCGTACTGGGCCCAGTGATAGCGGACGCGCAGCAGGGTGAAGGAGATGAGGACGACCATGACGATGGCCCAGAAGTTGATGAGCTGGGCGCTGAGGATGGTGGTGTAGCGGTATGCGAGCACGATGAAGTAGTTCCCCTGGACGTCGCAGAAGGCGAAGATGAGGTACTTCCACCAGTCGCGCAGGACGAGCTGCGACCACCACTTGCGGGCGCCGTAGCGGTAGAGCGTGAAGGAGGTGTAGACGAGGGTGAGCAGGACGTAGTTGAAGAGCGTCTGGAAGGCCGGGATGGAGGTTCCTGCGGACGAGAGCAGGCCCGAGAAGGTGTTGGTCGCCGTGATGCAGAGCGCGAGAATTTGGCTATCTTGTCAGTCTTTCTCTCTTTTTTTTTTTTTTTTTTTTTTTTTTTTCTGGATATATAGATATATAGATATAGTCATACCCCAGGAGCAGGACGATGTAGAACTGGCGAGTGCGAAAGTAGGCAAAGTAGCTCTTCTTCTCGCTGTCGCTGTCGGTCTCTGCATCAGCGGCCACTGGCTGGACAGAGGCATCGGCGCTCTTCATCAGCGGCCGGGTAGTCGACGCTCCCTCTGACGGCGTCGACCGCGCAGACTCAATCGTGTCTTCAGCCATATTGACTATTATATATTAATATATAGTGATATAGTAGTGATATACAGTGATATATCGAGGGTGTAGATGTTGGTGGTGGTGGTGGTGGCGGCGGGCGAGGGAGCTTTATAGGCAGAAGCAGACGCAAAACTCCCAGAAGTCGTCTGCTCGAGGCTGGCTAGCGAGTCAAGGCTGTCGCTGAAGAGGCCGCAGAGAGGGATACGAGGTCTCTCTTCGTCTTCGTCTTCGTCTTCGTCTTCGTCTGCGTCTGCGTCTTGGTCTGTCTGTCTGTCTGTTTGATATCTTGAAGTCCGAGAGTCCAGCGCCTGCGAGTGATAGAAAAATCGACGGCGAAAAAAAGAAAAAAAGCCAGAAAAAAAGTAAAAAAAGGTAAAAAAGAAGAAAAAGTAAAGTTGAAGAAGAAGAAAAGGAAGAAGAGAAGAAGAAGAGAAGATGAAGCTGAGGGAGAGAGGAAGAGAGAGCAGTCGATGGCAGGCAGAAGAAGAGCAGTAGGTGGAAGAGTCAGTGGGAGGAGAAGAAGAGAAGAAACCAGCAGTGAAGACGAAGAGAAGAAGAAGAGACTCGAGAGACTGAAGACTCCAGCAAGAGCTTCTCTTCTCTTCTTCTTCTTTTTCTTCTTCTTCTCTTCTCTCTTAATAGTAGAATAGTCGTAGAATAGTCGTAGAGTCCTAGTCCTCGTCCTCGTCCTGCTAGCGACTCCGCCAGCGTCACCAAAAGCGCCATCTCGACGTCTCGACCTTCGTCTTCACCATCTTCTGTCTTCTTCTTCTTCTTCTTCTTCTTCTCTTCTTCTTCTCTGCCTGCATCTTCCCTGACTAGCCCTGCAGCTCGCCGTCGCGTGGCCGTCCCTTGCTGGCTGGCCTCGTCTTCGTCTTCCTCCCTTGGCTTCTTCTTCTTCTCTTCTTCGTCATCTTCAACTTGCACCACTTGAACTTCTCACCAGCAGCATCTCGACCCTCGACCCTCCACTCCCGCCGCCGTCACCGCGACATCCTCCGTCATAAAACGCACCCTGGAGGCCGTCGACTGCTTCCTCGCCTGCGTCTCCTTTCTTCTTCTCCCTGCTTAGACGCCCTTCCCGCCGCACCGCGCTTGCGCCAGCCGAGGCAGAGTTTTGCGCGTCGCCCAACGCCCACCGCACTCAACTCACCCTGCAGCATCGCTGGCTGGCATCACCGCAAGAGACACCCACAGGAAACAGACAGAACAGACAGACAGGCAGACGCGAGAGACTCACGGAGGGCAGCGCTCCTCCTGCAGCGGCCATGGCCATGTCGTTCCCGGTGCCGCCGCTGAACGACCGCAAGAGAGTCAAGGTCTACGAGCTGCGGAACAACGACTGGTTCGACCGGGGGACGGGCTTCTGCACCGGCCAGATCACAGACGTGTGTACCTCTTTTGCCCTTACAGATAACGAACAAGAGACAGGGAAAGCGATGCTGACGTGCACAGGATGAGCCGAAGATACTGGTGCAGTCGGAGGACCAGCCGGATCGCATGCTGCTGGAGACTCGCATCTCGCGCGAGGACGGATACCAGAAGCAGCAGGGTAGGCCTTTTACTCCTGTTGCTACGATAGACCCTGGACTGACTGCTGTAGAAACACTGATAGTATGGACCGAGCAGAACGGGACAGACATGGCGCTGAGCTTCCAGGAGGCAGAGGGCTGCGGAGTGATATGGTGCGGACTTTGACTCCTTCGTTCTCGCTATCAGGCAGACACCAGACATACATATATCCAAAGGACACGCGACAGCTGACGCTCTAGAGTAGGGATTTCGTGCGCCATGTTCAGCAGAATCTCGCTCCCCTCGGGGCTGGTACGTTTGCTCTTTACCCTCCCTGTGTGTATGGACTTATACTGAACTGTGGAAGACGACTCGCTGTCCGAAGACGCCATGGACGGCCTCCCCAGCGCCATCATGCTCCCGCCGCCAGACCTCACAAACCTCGCAGAGATCGAACACCTCATCGTAGGCGCCAGTGCTACCCAGCCAGGTAGAGACGCCATCGCCCGCTTCGTCATCCAGGAGCAGTACATCCTCAAGCTGCTTCCCCTGGTCGCCGTCGCCGAAGACCTCGAGGGGCTCGCAGACCTCCACCGCCTCTGCAACATCATGAAGGCCCTCATCCTGCTCAACGACAACACCATCATCGAACAGGTCGTCTCCGATCCCGTCATCTCCGCCGTCGTCGGCGCCCTCGAGTACGACCCGGACTTCCCCACCCACAAGGCAAACCACCGCCAGTACCTCAACGACCGCTCCCGCTACAAGGAAGTAGTCCCCATCAAAGATCCCATCATCCTGCGCAAGATACGCCACACCTGGCGCCTGCAGTACCTCAAAGACGTAGTCCTCGCCCGCATCCTCGACGACCCTACTTTCTCCGTCCTCAACTCCCTCATCTTCTTCAACCAGGTCGACATCGTCCAGCACCTGCAGACCAACACCGCCTTCCTCTGCGAACTCTTCTCCCTCTTCGCTCCCGAGTCCCCGCCCGCCGAAGCTCGCAAACGTGAAGACGCCGTCCAGTTCCTCCACCAGTGCATGAGCATTGCAAAGAACCTCCAGGCCCAGTCTCGCGGGAACCTGTTTGCAAACCTCATCAACCATGGCCTGTTTTCAGTCATTGCATTCGCCGTCAAACATCCTACTCCCGCCCTCAGAACTACCGGCATCGATATCCTAGTCGTCCTGCTCGATCATGACCCCATCACCATGCGCGGATACATGCTCAAGGCCTTTACCGACAAAAAGGTCTCGTTGACCGACACCCTCATCGACCTGCTGCATTCCGAGGCAGACCTGGGCGTCAAGAACCAGCTGGCCGACGCCCTCAAGGTCTTGCTTGATCCACAACCGCAGATGCAAGAGTTGCGCTCTGGAGAGGTAGTAAAGATGCGTCAGGGCCAGCAGGGCGGCCAGGGCCAGGCTCAGATACAACCACACCCCGTTGCTGACGCTTTTATGCAGAACCACTTTGACAGCTCGGCCAAGAGGCTCTTTGCTCCCCTAACTCACCTCGCCGAACAAGAAGACCGTACGATCCCTGCACATACATATATATCTATAGATATACTGACTGTGATTATAGTCTCCGGATTGTCGTTCCAGCAGGTGTCGTTATTCGCTCACCTAGTCGAGATTCTTACCTTCTTCGTCCGCCAGCATCCCATCCGCAGCCGCTCCTTCATCCGCGAAGAATCCCTTATCCCGCGAGTCGCCCAGCTCTTCACCGTCACCCAGAAACACCTCAAACTAAGTACGCCAGCCTGAATTCCAATCTAATATGGTCCACACTAACCGCTGCAGTGGCATTGAAATTCTTCCGCACCCTCGTCAGCCTCCACGACACCTTCTACCACGCCCAACTCACCCACAACAACACCTTCGACCTCATCCTCAACATCGTCTACGAAACCATGCCCCGCGACAACCTCCTCAACTCCGCCTGCCTCGACCTCTTCGAATTCATCAAACGCGAAAACATCAAGCCCATCATCGGCCATGTCGTCGAACGTTACCGCGAAAAGATCCAGAACATCACCTACGTAGATACCTTCCAGAACCTGATCCTGCGTTACGACCAGATGCAAGGGTACGGAACCAACGCAGCCACCGGTGCCGAAAGCAGCGATGCAGCAAGCACCGTGTTCAGCCAGGACGAAGCCTCGTCAACGCCCACACGCATGATTATCAGCGGCGGCGCCCAACGCTGGGGTGCAATGGGTGTCCGTGACTTGACCGCCGCGGAGGAGGAGTACTTTGAGACCTCAGACGATGAGGAAGACGAGGTAGGATTCTTCTCTTGGGAGGGCGAAGTAGCTGCTGCGGCTGCGGCTGCGGCTGCGGCTGCTACTTCTTGTGGCAGAGGCTCCGGACACAGAACTGTGCAGCTCATGCCCAAACTTTCATCACAGGTTAAGCCCGAAAATACAAACTCCGGCGCCCTCAATGGCACCCCCAGCAAGCCGCTTGTCGATTACCCCGACGACGACGATGATGACGACGACGCCATGGACGAGCAGGAAGCGAGTGCGCAAACACCGCAGCTACAGGAGCAAGAGCAAGGTCAAGAGCAGCAGCAACAGCAGCAGAAAATTGAGCGCTTCTCATTTTCTGAAAAGCGTCGTCGAGAAGAGGATGATGACGACGATGAACTTATTAAGCTCTCCTCGGGCTCTAAGCGACGCAACTCGGTCAACCCATCCAACTCCGTCTCCCCACTATTCCAGCGTGGTAATGGGAATGGAAACGGCAGTTTACGAACAAAAAAGGGCCAGGGACGGAGTCCAAGTGCGAGCCCGAGTCCCAACCCGAGCTCGAAAGGCAAAGGAGCTGAGAAAGATGGTTCAAAGGAGCCACAGACAGCTGGGAAGAAGATTGCAATTACGCTGAATGTCTCGCCCTCTACAAGGATAGCGCTCAAGAGTCAGAATCAGAGTCAGGAGAACTCCACCGATTCCAATTCGGAGTCAAAGCCGGAGCCAGCCGGGGAGAAACATACCGACGGTGCAGGAATAGTTGACGGCACCCCAACATCAGCTACTGCAGCCATAAGTGATGGCAGTGACGCTGACACTGGCTCAGCCGATAGCGGAGGAGGTGATTCGCAAGATAGCACGGAGCATAATGAGCATCTTCCCGAGACTCCCAGTGCCAGTGCCACTCCAACAACTGCGACAACGCCAGTAGCAGCCACAGCTACAGCGAGTTAAGACGCGAATGCAAATAAAATTCAAACGAAGCAAAAAGAAGATGCTGAAAAGTTCTGAAAAAAAAAAGTTGATCTATAGAGTGATAAAAGGGGGTGTTTCTGCTGCGACTACCTGCATTACATACATACATACCCACGAATGGCCGACCGATCCCGAAACCGAGCTTTACGAACTTCTCATCCAAAACTCCAATATATTCCCCTCTCCACTGCGGTTTCGGTTTCGGTTTCGATCCATATAATATCCTTTACTCCCTACCCCTTTATTCTCTACGCAGCATCTTTCCTACCTGTCAACTGACCCACGGGGCCAGCTTCATTCAGCTTCCCATAATTCACTCACTCACCCATCCATTCTGTACGGTAAATAAGAGAGAGAAGAAGAAGAAACCCCCCACTCGGGCCCTCCTTTCCGGCCCTGGAGTTCAGTTCAGTTCGTTTGCCTGTCCATTTAGCTAGCTTGTCTGCTTGCGTGCATTTTCCTTTCTTGCTTGTTTTGTTATCCGATCGATTGAGTGTTGTAATTTGTTCTTCAGATCGTTTGGGAACGGGGATGGGAATGGGCTGGGATGGTGTGATGGAGTATGTTTACCTGTCTATGGGACGGAACGGATGGGAATGGAACGGTATTTGATAGTTAGGCATGGGCTTTGAATTTGGTAGGCAGGCAGTTTCAATGGCGGAAGTCGCTTTGCTGTTTGTTATGCAGGATTTCGAACCCGGGCCGGCTTTGTTCAATTGGCTGCTGGGTAAAAAAAGGCAGATCAATTGTTATAATAGAGACCTTTATTGTGAATATCTTTCTTTCTTCGTGCAGTTGTAGAGTGGTGCTGGGTTGAGTTGAGGTTGAGGTTGAGGTTGAGTTTGGTGCGGCTCCACTGCCCGCCGGGTTTGCAACGTCCAGCATAGTTAAACGCCGCGGCTGGCTGCTCGACTGACGGGCCATGCATGGCTGACCGCATGAGAACCTTGGAATGAAAAGCATATTCCGCAGAACCCAGCTCTTCAAGCCACGCAGCATGTCTCCCGGCATCAGCATCAACCTCAACCCTCATATCACGCCCAATTCCTTCCTGTCACATGTCAGCCCCGGAAGCCAGGGCGGGGGAACCAGCTCCCTCTCCCCATCCACGACACTGATATATTTCATCTCAGGCAACCCAGGCTTAATAGCATACTACCATCTCTTCTTCTCTCTGCTCTCGTCGGAGTTATCCCAGGTCAATGCCACTTCCAATAGCAATGGCTCATATATCATCCGCGGAAGAAGCCTGGGAGGCTTCGAGGTTCCCGCTCAAGGAGAAGAGGGCAACTCAACCGCCACCACAGCTCTCTACAGCTTGAATGATCAAATATCCTTCATGGAGAGGGATTTAGAATCCTTCGTTCACGCATGGCAGGACGCCGCTATGCGAGAGCGCAAATTGGACGAACAGCCTCGAGCGAATGTTATTGTCATGGGCCATTCGGTGGGAGCATACATGGCTATGGAAATCATGCGGCGCAGAAGGGAGAAGGCCGGTCTCCAAAGGAAGATCCAGACCACCCGTGATGCCAATGGGAATGGAGATGCCAACGAACTTGGTCTCGACATCATTGGCGGTATCATGCTGTTTCCTACTGTGGTGGATATAGCGAAGTCTCCTAACGGGAGGATACTTACGGTATGTCTACCGGTCTACCTAGTCATCATGGCGATGCTAATTAATTGCAATTGGGATAGAAATTGCTGTATATTCCATGTCTGCCTCTTCTAGTGAGCTTGTTTGCACGGTTTCTTGTCCTGGTACTGCCTGAGATGCTACTCTACGCCGTCGTAAGCCGGTTCATGAGGAATCCTCGCAGGCAGGCAGTCGAGACGACCGTATCAATGTTGAGAAACGCTCATATGGTCAGACAGGCATTGTATGTTCCCGGTACTTATTTTTGATAATACCTAACTAATGGAAACCCACAGACATATGGCAGCGGATGAAATGAGGGAGATATCCACTGATAAGTGGAACGATGAGATATGGGGATTTAGCAGCCCTACACATGCCTCCGGAGACAGGCTTACGAAGATGATCTTCTACTTTGGTCGGAATGACCACTGGGTAGCGGAGGCGACTAGGGAAGACATCATTCGGTCCAAGACAAGAGATCAACAGGATGGCCCGGCTCCAACTCTGACGGTGTGTGAGGATGGGGTTGTTCATGGGTTCTGTATAGGTGAGTGGCAACAATGGGAAACCGAGTAGTGCTAGGAGCTAATAACTTCATCTAGGACATAATGAGATTATGGCGAAGAAGGTTGGTCGGTTTATTAGAGATATAGTTCAGGAGTCTGGAATAGACAAATAGTTAGACTGTGTGGTGGGAAAGAAAAATATATTCTATAGAGCTATGCCCCTAACACCTTTAATAATGCAAGAAGTAAAAAACCAAGAAGCAACAACCGGGTATCAAAGACGTGCTTTTCAAGGCTAACTGTTATTTCCTGTCTGGTAATTCATGCTGGCGCTGCGAAATAGTTCTCCCAACACATTATTCCCACCCGAAGGGAACGGCATTGTCTGGTTCCATCCTCCGTGTTGCTGGGGAAGTGGAGGCGCAGGCTGATGAGGAGGCAGAGGGAACGATGTGTGCTGCGGCCCTTCATTCTCGGCACCCGGACTGTGCACCTTGACACTCCACTCATCATCCTGCGCTCTCTGCTGCCCAAACAGCTCCTTGAGCGAAATCTGTCTACCCATGGGTATTCCGCCCTGTAACCCTTCCCCATCACCCGTATCACTAGGATAATAACTACCCTGCGCAGCAGCCTGCCTTCTTTCCGCAGCCAGTCGTTCCTCCGCAGCCTTCCTGCTCTCCCCCGCATATACCGCGCATTCCTTAATAACTTGTGCATTCAGCGCCCTCGCATCCGCAGTCGAGCTCGGAGGCGGTTCCGAAAATATCCAAATTCCATATATCATTGCCTTTATTCCAGGCGAAGTCATCACTGCGCCTTTCTCGGGTGTCTGGGGAGTGGTATTGTCTTCCTCGTCCACCTTCAAAATAACGTACTCCTCCGTGATCTCAATGTCGTCTCCGGTTGAAAGCTTGACGTCGAAGTTGTTCATTCCTCGCCGGTTTAGTAGGAACACGCTGTATCTGTCCTCGCCTAGTTCGCCTGGGGTAAGTTGGCAGACAAATAGTGTCCCCTCCACCCCGATCTTCTCCCATAGCTGTGTTCTTGCGTTGAAGTGGTAGATGACTGCGTATTGGGCGAGGGAGAGGATGGAGGATATGGATGGGTTGTGTCGTCGGAGAACTGAAAGGTTGATCTCTGCGTTTGTCCTTGTCGGTGCCGGTCCCGCTGCGGGTGCCGGAGCTGCCTCTACAGGCGTGGCTGTGTATTGTAGCATTTCTTGAGCTCTGGATTTGTGGTAATGGCTTTTTGAAGTGTTCAGCTTATCTCTTGGTTCTTCAGATAGCTGCGCAAGTCGTAGACGTACTGCTGGATAAATAGTGAGCTTGTAAGTATGGTCCTTGAGCTTGTATCAGCTGCGGCGTTCTTTGTGAGGATGTCAAAAGTTGCCGTTTCTGGCCATCGTCCCGCCAAGCCTCTGGATCGTACGTAAATAACGTTAACTTCTCCTCCTGCAGGCAACATCCCACCCTCATCCTCCACCTTCGATCTGCATACAACTGACGTCTCTCCAGCCATATACACAATATATACATCCACCAAGGAGGCTGATCCGCCCATGGTCTCGTAAAGAGCCTCAAGTTTGGTTACATTGCTGGATTCGCCGGTTCTCGTGGGCCTGGAGCTGTCTGCCCTGCTGCGCCTGGCTTCCCCGGTTACTCCACTGGTATCGGGCGCAGCTGACCAGTATCCGATCACAAGCCCTGTTCTGTTAACCGCCTTGGACAGGCACCGACATATATTTGCCTATATAAGAACATCTATCTCGCGGTGAGATGAGAGGAAACTGTTCTTCGCTTTCGTTTGCTACAGGTGCGCGGGGTCCAAGGAAAGAGCAAGATGGCGGTCCCCGGGGATGAGGCTCAGATTGTTTCCAACACTACATCTACTACGAATGCCGAGGGTTTGCCTGGCACATTCCCCGATCCGCAACTTGACGAGCCCGTTGTGGTATCGTTGAATGACTTGTCCTTGTCCGCTGGAGTTCGATCTAGGAAGTCCGAATATATTCGACAGAGAAAGCTCAGAATAAGGATCGGATCATGGAATGTTGCAGCTCTGTCTGGACCGGAACAGGACCTTAAGAGATGGCTAATTGCAGACCCGGTTGCCGGAGGGAAAGCCACTGAGAACGGGGATACTAGTGTCGGCGACAGAGAGGATGCCACAGACGATGAGGCGGCCCATTCAGTTTCGTTCAAGGCCTATGGGGAAGGACCAGATCTCTATATCCTAGGATTGCAGGAAATTGTGGATGTGGCCTCTGCTACGGAGGCTATCAAGACATATGTCGATCCTGGACCTTCTGCTAAATGGAACGCAGCACTCCAAGATGCGTTACCCTCAGGATATACTTGCATAGCTTCCCAGCAACTCGTGGGTATGCTTTTACTCGTTTATGCTGCCCCATCTTTGGAACCTCACATATCATCAGTAAGTTCCACCAGTGTTGGAACAGGGTTTCTAGGCTATACTGGCAATAAAGGGGCAGTTGCAACACGTATCGTCATTGGAGAAACAACACGGTTGGTGTTTGTGAATTCCCATCTTGCAGCTGGGGCAGAAAAGGCCAATCTTGAAAGAAGGAACTGGGATGCGGCTCAGATCATTTCTCGTTCAAATTTTGCCCCTATCGAAGAACAGGACCTCATCTCCGGGGAAATGAATCATCAATTTGGAGAAGAGGAGTTTAGCTTTTGGTTTGGAGACTTGAATTACCGTCTAGATGGTATCCCCGGGAACGATGTTCGTCGGCTTCTTCATTTACATGTTCAAGACGAATTCCGCCCAGCAAAACGGGACCCCCCTTTACAGAGTATCGGGAACAGTCAGCCTGAGGAATCTCGGAAATCGTTTGAAAGCGACATTACCTCTTTACCATCAGAGGAGGGTATACAAATGGATGATAATGACCTCAATCCAACAGAGGACCCAGCTTCCCTATTGAACACAATCTCGTCGCTCTTACCTCATGATCAACTCCAAACTCAGCAGAAGAGCGGAAAATCATTTCATCAGGGCTGGCGAGAGGGTCCAATAACATTCTTGCCTACTTATAAGTATGATGTTGGACAGATGGGGGTATTCGACTCCAGTGAAAAGCAACGCAGTCCAAGTTGGTGCGATCGAATCCTGTTTCGAACCAAGTCCGACCATATGAGGCATATAAAGAAAGTTAAGGAGGCAGAAGAAGCGAAGAAGAGAGACGAGGAAATAAAGTCTCTAGGCTTGGATAAGGCTGCGGAAGATGATAATGTCCTCTTCGATTATGATCCAGATCAGGATGCTGCAGACTACGACCCTGAACAGGATGATATAACAGAAGATGCAACGAATAATGATACCGCGGGTGAGAATATTATTTCTCTCCTGGAGTATACGTCCCATCAGCATATTGTTTCTTCTGACCACAAACCTATTCACGCTGATTTCGACATCACACTTGATGTGGTCATTCCATCGTTGAAAACGAAGATTCATCAGGAAGTTGCCCGAGAACTAGACAAGGCCGAGAACGAAGCCCGCCCTGATATAACTATCGTGGTGGATGAGCTGTCAGAAGCCCGCCGAAGTAGCTCTGGTGGTGTTGCTCTTCCCACTCAGCCAGATACCGTTCACTTTGGCAAGGTGAGATACCGTGATCCGACTTCACGGAGTCTGACCCTTGCAAATACAGGCGGTGTTCCGGCTACCTTTGCTTTCCATTATAATCCTTCTATTGATACGGCTGGCCCTTGTTCGTCTCCTCCCTGGTTAAATATCCGCGTCGATTGGCCCGCCAATAATCCTAACCAAGATGATAAATCGCCAAAGGAATACACTTTCCAACCTGGTGACTCCGCCAATGTTCGTTTAACATTATGTATCTCTGATATTGACTTTGTCCGAAAACTCAATGAGGGCAAGGCTAAAGTGGATGATATCCTTGTATTACGTGTGACTGGTGGACGGGATCATTTCTTATCTATACAGGGCCATTGGTTACCTACGTCCTTTGGTTTCTCGCTGGAAGAGCTTACTTGCATACCTGAAGATGGTGTACGTGCTATAAGTGTATTACCGGCTTCATCCAGAGCGGATAAAACTAACTCTCGATCCTCCGGCCCTCGTGAGTTATTCAAATTAACAGAGGCGATAGCTGAGCATACCGAACGATCCGTTGCTGAATGGGGCATGGTTTCCAATGATACAAACCCTGAAAGTAACGAGGCTCCATGGGAAGATGACAGGAAGCCTGGTTGGCCATTTGACTCACAGACCTGGTCATTGAACGATACCAAGGAAAGAGAGAAATTGCTTATCGATGTGAGAGAAGCAATTGATACAAATAGTCCCTTTTCTGAACACTTTCCTCCAAATTTCCCATGGAAATACCGCACGGAGCTGCTTGCTGAGACCTTGATTAATTTCCTTCGGTCTCTTCGAGATGGTATCATTACTGAACGCCTGTGGTGTGCTCTAGATGAGCAACTGAAGCTACTACGAGACAAATCAAGGCAACAGGAACCTCCATCCAGCGAACAGATGCAGTCATCAATACTTGAGACCCTCTCAGCATCACCTTCCCACAGTGTCTCCTTCACTTTTCTCACCTTCATGCTGAATCGTATCGCAAACGAAATAGCCCCGATTACACCGACACCTACACCTTCTGCTACGTCTCCTCTCGCAAAGTCACCATCAGCTCCCACTGCAACCAGCTCAGAACAGACATCAATACCCGCTCCCGCAGCCCAGTCTACCCTCCTGAGTAGGCAAGCGTCTCTTTCGTTCCCATTCCGGTTGCGAGGCCGAAACAGTACTCTACCTGGAAATAGCGACGCAGACCACTCTCTCTCAATACCGCGGAAAAACCAATCAGTTGCCAGAAGAGAAGCTCTTAACGATGCATATGCCTCTCTTTTTGCTTCTGTGATGTTTTCTTCTTCCATTCCGTTACCGGAAAAGGATAAAGACAGGAGATTGCTCGAAGAAAGAAAGAAAGGGGTTATAACTCCCTTTTTGTATAGTGATACCAGTTAAACCAGGGTATTTGGAGTTTACATATACATTGTGTATAAAGATTAT